TGTCCCACCCTGGCTAGGCGACCACCTCTTCTGGGCTCTGGGGACAGCTTGCTGCCCTTCACCCAGCTCACTGTGCAGGAATGCCACTTCTGAGGTCCTCACCTCATGGAGTTAAGATTGGTGGTCACTGAGGAAGTCCGACTGCAGTCCTCTGTAGGATTTTTGTTGTGTTATTTTTAAAATAAAACTATAATATAAATTCTCCTATTAAATAAAATTATTTTAAGTTTTAGTGTCGCAAGTGAGATGCCGAGAGTAGGGGATAATGTATATTTTACAGAGTTGGGCATGGTGGGATGGTGACATTTAACATGATTGCTCTCTCTCTCTTTTAAGATTATGGGTATTTATCCTATCCTATTAGTGTTCGTATCTTCAGTTCATTCCACCCTTGCAAACAGAGCTACCAGTTGAAACAGGAGGAAAAAGAAGTAGACATCACATTACAGTGTCTTACACACACATACACACACGCACACACACAATGCCCAAGCGTGGAGTTCGGCAGGACCCCAGAGGGCAAGGCAGTGCAGGCTTGAGTTTCCCTGGGATTTATTTCATTACCTTGTGGTTGTGCCATTTGGCGGAGGGAAAATGGAAGATGTGGCCCTCTCCACGGGGCAGCGTGAGTGGAAGGAACTGTTAGCCGGTCAGTGGTTTTTAAGCCATGAGTCTAGACTTGGCACTTTGGGATTATCTTTATTTCAACCTCAAAAGTCTCATAAGGTGGAGCCCCTGACCCAACCCACGCAAGTGCCCTCCATGAGTGGACGGTGGCGTCTCCTCTATGTGGCATTTGGCCATTTTCAGTCCCTGGTAGGGTCCTCACCAACAGGAGGGACTTTGGGTGAGGCCTGAGCAGGAGCCACCAAAAGCTTCCCTACAGAGCAGCAAAGTCAGTAGAACCACAGTCCCATCTGCCAGGCCCTGGCAAGAAGGGCGGTCCCGGGCAAAGAAGGGTCCTTTGCAGAGTGATGATGTCAGAGGGCGGTTTTTGAGCTTTCTATAAGCTATAGCTTTGTTTATTTCACCTGTTCACTTACTGTATAATTTAAAATCATTTATGTAGCTGAGACACTTCAGTATTTCAATCATATCATGGATGTTTTATTTTGCTAAATCTTGTGTCATGTGTAGGCTGTAATATGTGTACATTGTGTTTAAAAGAAAAAAAAAATTAAACCCACATGCCGCCATTTTCCTGAATCAAATTCTACAGTGGGATGGAGGGTAAAAAACTTCTACTGTGCAGGCAGCTAGACTGGTGTATCGGGGGAACTGGAACGGAACTGGCACCCCAGACTCCTCTAGCCCCCTCCCTATAGGACTTCCAGTGATTTCTAGAGTAGGAAAGAAGAGGAAGAAAATAGAAAGTACATTCATGTCCTTGCCCTGTGGCACCTGGCCCTGAGCAGTCTCCTGGTCACTGCCATTGCCTTTCTCCTGGACCTTTGGCCCATCCAATAGGGAACCATGATTTCTCCTAAAATCCAAGGAGGGCCATAAGAGCTGATTTCAAGATCTTTTTGCTTCCTCTGGCCATCTCTTCTGCCTCCCAGTCGTGGAAGCGCCACACCCAGCCTCTCACCTCTCAGTGCAGACCTCCGATCTGGCCAGGGTAGGTAACTCTGGGAGTCTCCTATCCTTACGGGGCCCTAGGGCCTTATCATGGCAGCTGAGCTGTAGCCCAGGAACACCATTTTCCATACTGGTGCTTGAGCAAGAAAAGAAACAAATGGCTTATTGGAATCACTCTGTCTTGGAGATTCTGAGGCCCCTGAAAGTTAGTACTCTCTCCTGCTCCAGCCCTTCCCCTTATTTGCTGGGTGACTGTCACCGATGTGGATTACCCCAATATGGCACCCAAGTGTTCTGGCTACCTAAAGTAAAGCTATCATTAGAGTATTTTTATCTGAAAGAAACGCTTTAAAGTTCTGATGGCAGAAGCAAAACAAAATGGGGTGTATGTATGAGGAAAGTGGATATCAACGGCTTCCAAATTGGCTCTTTGGGGGTGAAAGAAGGGAGAGAACTTAGAGAACAGTTTATGCTTTGGGGGTAGGGCCTTCTTCGATTCTCTCGTGCCCCCTACCTCCCCCTTTAGCCAGTCTGCTGTCCTGAAACCCAGAAGTGACGGAGAGAAACCAACCAGAGAAAACCCTGTCTGGAAGGAATGTATTTGTTGCGAAATTTTGTAGCACTGTTTACAGTTTTCCTCCATGTTATTTATGAATTTTATATTCCGTGAATGTATATTGTCTTGTAATGTTGCATAATGTTCACTTTTTATAGTGTCCTTTATTCTAAACAGTAAAGTGGTTTTATTTCTATCACACACCTGCCGTCTCTTGCCTTGTTGTGTCCTGACGGCCGCTGGGGGATTTATAGACAGCAGAGAGCCTTGCAAGCCTGGCCTGCCTGCCCTGGATCCAGACCTCTTCGCTGATCCACCCCATAGGAAGTGCATACTAATTCCCACCCTGTCCCAGTCCCTTCCCGGGGCAGGAGGAATTTCAGGAGAGGCATCAGAGATCTCCTAGCTGCTAATCCAACCCTGACCTTGCTCCCTGCTTTCGAGGCCAGGGTTCTCCCTGGATCTATGGAATCTGGATCTCTAGAGTCCCTGGGTGGTACAAACAGTTAATGTTCTTGGCTGCTAGCTGTAAGGTTGGTGGTTCGAGTCCATCCAGAGGCACTTCGGAAGAAAGGCCTGTCAATCTGCTTCCAAAAAAATCAGCCATTGAACCCCCATGGAGTGCAGTTCTACTCTGACACACATGGTGTCACCATGAGTCAGAGATGACTCAGTAATGGCAACTGGTTAACTGGTTATCTAATAATCATCTATTGGTGGTACAGGTATTACCAAAATGGGGCCCTGACTCAGCTTTGCTCGTCTTTTTCCAACGAATTCCAACCTGGTGGAGGTGGAAGGGAGGCCTGCAAACAGCATTCTTTGATGCCAGTGGCCTTCCTGACATTTCAAGTTTGGCTTGGTCTGGTTGGAAAGGCCAAGAACTCATGAGGCCGCATTAAAGCCGGTGACACTCTCCCAGAGCTCACAGCTTGGCCCATCACCCTCATCGGCTGGGTTGGTTGCTGACACCTTGTCCAACTTTCATCACACTGTTGACTATGTTTCAAGATATGTTTTTTACCCCTATTTTAAAGCTACTGCACTTTGAGCAAGGAGCCCTGGTGGCATAATGGTTAAGCACTCAGCTGCTAACCAAAAGGTTGGTGGTTCAAACCCACCCAGCATCTCCATAGGAAAAAGACCTGGCAATATGTTTCTGTAAAGATTACCAAGACCAAACCTGTTGCCACTGAGTTGATTCCAACTCATAGTGACCCTGTAGGACAGAGTAGAATTGCCCCATAGGGTTTCCAAAGCTGTAATCTTTATGGAAGTAGACTGCCACATCTTATTCTTGCAGAGAAGCTGGTGGGTTCAAACCATCGACCTTTCGGTTGGCAGCCGAGCACTCAAGCAGTGCGCCACCAGGGCTCCTTCTGTAAAGATTACAGCCTAGAAAACCTTCTGGGGCGGTTCTATTCTGTTACATGGGGTCACTATGAGTTGAAAATAGACTCAACGGCACCTAACAACAACAACACGCTTTGAGCATCTATCATATGCCCGGCACAGTGCTTTATATACATTATCACATTAAATCTTAATAATCTGATGGGGTAGTTCCACTACAATCCATGGCTTTCAACTGACAGAGCTGAGACTCAGAGAGAGGTTTACGGTTACCCAAGGTCTACTGCCTATGTGTGTCAGAGTAGAAGTGTGCTTCACAGGGTTTACAATGGCTGATTTTTCAGAAGTCGATCACCAGATTTTTCTTCTGAGGCACTTCTGAAGTGGGATTGAATTTCCCACCTTTCGGTTAGCAACCGAGCACATTAACTATTTGTACCACCCAGAGATTCCATTGCCCAAGGTAGACACCTAGTAAATAGGCAGAACTGGGATTCAAACCCAGGCCAGTTTGATGATAAACCCTGAATTTTCTCCGTTGTATTTACACTTTATCAGAACAGGCTGTGCTCTACATGCCCTTCGTATCCAAACCAGCACATCCTGTTTCCCATGACACTCACTGCATTGGGTATAAGGAAAGATAACCAAGGGAAAACCTCTCCGCCTAGTCAGACTGCTCCCACCAGAGCCTGACGTCCTGTGTCTCCCAATAGGGCTATCCTGCTCAGCAGCCTGAGCCTGGGATCCCACTAGCAGCCCATAGTCCCAAGCTGGGACTACAGAGTACCCTATTAACTGTTCTGTTTCCTGAGACTCACATTTCCCACAAGGCCAAGCATGGGGCCACAGCCCTGCATTCCTCTGACCAGTTTAAGAAGATCACCAACCACACACACAGGCATGCCACGAGCAGCTTCCAGAACTCCCCCATCCCAGCTTGTTCCTGCTGCAAGAGAGATAGCTCTCGACCCCATTCAAAAAGATATTGACCTCTCCCCTCTAGGGAAGCTATGCCACATACTCTGAGTTAAGCTGAAACCACTTCTTAGACATGAACTCCAAAACAGTACTCCAAAGTTGGAATGCAAAAAGGACACGCAAGGAAACTGCCCTTTGATAATCAGCACAAATAAAATACTACAGATTTTATTGAAATATATGTTAAAATCAGGTCCCAAACAGGACTCAAGTGAAATAACATCCCACCTCTGAAACAGCTTTTATCTTTATCATTAACCTTGCTTCAATATCCAGTATCTACCTCTGCCAGCTCAAGTTGTCCCCTGATTTGCCAAACAAGGAATGCTGTCCACCATTATCATTGGTACAACTACCTGGAATTACATCTGGAGAGAGAAAAGCCAGGCATCCCACAGGACATCACCACTCTTCCTTAGGTCCAAGGTGATCAGGGCATGGCCCCAGACCGACCTCCTCCATCCAAAGGACATCGACGTCTGTGTTTGCTCCCTCATTGCAAAGACAAGCAGAATCAAACAAGGGCACTCACCATTGGCTTATGGTTGGGGAAAAACGTCTGCTCCACAAGTGGGAACTTCTCAGGACCCAGGGAATGGAAGATCTTAATAAGCTGAGAGAACTAGGAGAGAAGAGGAGAGAGCACTGGTCAGCCATTGCTATCCAGTATGGTGAAAACTCCCACTCCACCCCAGGCCTCAAGCATCTGACTGTTCTCCAGTGGCTGCTCCTTGCCTAAGGGATAAAGGCTAGAACCTTTGGCTGAGCATTCACTCTCTGTGTTATCTAGCCACACCAACCCCTCCATTCCTGCCAGGCCCACTGAGTTCAGCTCCACTGCATTCAGGGACCATTTACTGTATCCTCAGCACTTAATGCAAGGTCCTTGTCCACTGCTGACCCCTTCTTTCTAGAGAGGCAGTTGCATGCCTTAGTTCCTTGTGCGGGCTCCAGATCCAGTGTTCCTGGGTTCAAACTTCTGCTCTGCCATTTACTAGCTGTGCAACCCTGGGAAGTCATTTTAGGTTTCTGTGTCTGTTTCCTCATCTGTAAATTGGACATACTAAGAGATCCTACCTCATAGGATTGTTGTAAAGATTAAACGTACAACATGTTATGACCAGTGCCTGGTTCATAGAAGCACTCAAATGTTAGGTTATTGTTATTATTAATAATAAATATTTTCTCTGCTTTTACAACCCCATCCATTTCCCATAGCTCAAGTCACATCCCCTTAAAGAAGCTTCCCTGGTTTGCAAGTGCTCCTCTTGCTTTAGCGTGATCTTCTTTTTGCCAGGTCCCTGGGTGGTGCAAATGGTTAATATGTTGGGCTGCTAACTGAAAGGTTGGAAGTTGACTCTATCCAAGGGCATCTCAGAAGAAAGTCCTCGCAATTTACATCCCCAAAATCAGCCACTGAAAACCCTGTTGAGCACAGTTCTACTCTGATACCTATAGGGTCGCCATGAGTTGGAGTTGACGCGCTGGCAACTGGTTTTAGTTTTGTTTTGCCATTGTTGCTGTTGTTGTTTATTGTTGGGTGCCATCGAGTCAATTCCAACTCCTAGTGACCCCATGTGACAGAGTAGAACTGCCCTACAGGGTTTTCTTGGCTGTAATCTTTACAGAATTAGATCTTCAGGTCTTTCTTCCATGGAGCCACTAGGTGGGTTCGAACCACCAATCTTTTGGTTAGCAGCCAAGTGCTTAACCGTTGCACCACCAGGGATCTTCGTTTTGCCACAGAGGTAGGTATTGTCTCAGAGCTAGATGGTAGCAAGCCTCAGACTTACATTTCTTTTTCACCTCCCCCTACACACCACCCAACATCCTTAGGGGCTCACTTTGTGCCCAGCATTGCGCTGTAATGTTGAGACAACAGGCTGAACATGGCACACCTGGTCTTGAGAGAAGATGGACTACAATAGATGATGGAGATATGAAAGTCTTGCTGGAGACAAGAATGGGGGTTATGGGACCCAGAAGAGGGACAGAGTAGGGGTCAGGAGGTCCACTGGAGCAGATGCTATAGAGAAGGAGGAAGGGCACCCCAGGGGTGCGGAGAGACTGGGTACACTGCAGACATTCAGCACTGCCGTGGTTGTGACCTTGTAGTAAGAAACGAGGCTGGAGGTGATCCATCACAGACCACTAGGAGCCTTAAAGTTCAAACCAAGGAGCTTGGAATTCACCCAGATGGTGGAGGAGAGCTGCTTGTGGATATGAGCAGGGGAGAGCGAATTAGATTCTGATCATAAAGAAGGAGCAAGCTGCAATTTGCAGCCTAACGTAAATGCCCAATGGTTAGAACAGACTCTATAAGTCTTGCACCAGACTGACTTGGGTGTAACTCAATGCTAAGACCCCAGAGAGAGGGGTGGAGGTACCTTAGGAAATTTCTACATCAGACCAGTGTTGCTAGTTGCCATGGAGTCAATTCCAACTCATCTGCAGAGTAGAACTGCTTCATATGGTTTTCAAGGTTGTGACCTTTAGGAAGCAGTTCACCAGGTCTTACTTCCAAGGTGCCTCTAGATGGGTTTGTACCACCAACCTTTTGGTTAGTAGTCCAGTGCTTAACCATTTGTGCCACCCAGGGACTCCATTACCAGCCTATAAACTCTCCAAGTACAGCCTGCAGGTGCATTACAACCTGGACTCAACTTGGAGGGCCTAGGGCAACTCACAAATATGAGAAATGACGTGGGGGAGAGGGCCCCTCATTTTACAGATGAGGAAACTGATGTCAGAGAATGAGAGCAATTCCATAATTAAGAACATGAGTCTTGAAGAGGCCCAGCTGCCCTACTTACTACTAGCCACATGAGGCCAGCCTCAGCTTCCTCATCTGTACAATGGAGATATTAATAATACCTACTCCACAGGCTAGTTCTGAGGATTAAATAAAGTATGCGTGTTAATGGCTCAGCACAGTACACAGTTAGTGTTAATAAATGGCAGCTGCTACTATCACAAGGAGCCCTGGTGGCACAGTGGTTAAAACACTCAGCTGCCAACCGAAAGGTTAGCAGTTTGAATCCACCAGCTGCTCTGAGGGAGAAAGATGTGGTAGTCTGCTTCTGTAAAGATGTCAGCCTTAAAAATCCTACAGGGAAGTTGTACTCTGTCCTATATGGTCACTATGAGCTGGAATCGACTCCATGGCAAAAGGTTTTTTTGTTTGTTTTGGTTGCTACCATTACGGATGACTATGTGGGAAAACAAGAGGGGTGAATTAATACTATCTAAGACCATTTTCAGACAGTGACACTTGAACCTCAGATGCCATTAGCCAAAAAACTCAATGAGGGAAGATCGAGAAGACCAGAGCCATGGTCATAGTGGTGAAAAGCAATCCATATATATTGACTCATTCAATGACTATTGAGTGCCAACTGTACACAGGCCTTGCTCCAGGCACTGAGACAATAACAATTGTCACCATTTATTGTGTACTTGGTTCCAGCCATCATTCTGAGTACTTTACATGCATTAACTCATAACCCTACTATGTAGACTTTATTATTATCATCATTTTACAAATAAGGAAACTAAGCTCAGAGAGATTAAACAAGTTGCTCAAGGCTGCACAGCTTATAAATGGAGAAGCCTGAACCTAAGCAGTCTGGCTCTAGAACCCATGCTCTTAACTACTGCCCTACACCACCAGGCAATCACGCAGAGAGATAGTAAAACACGGCAGATGAAATCTCCATGTGACTTCATAGAGTTTACCTTCCACCCACGCCAACCTCTGCATCTCCTTTCTGCCTTTCTGGCTTAATTTTTCCCCCATCATATTATTATATTATACCATCATATGACATAGTATATATTTGTCATATTTATTAATATACTGCATGTGTTCCTGCCTGCTAAAATGTAAGATCCATAGGAGCAGGCACATTGGTCTGCTTTGTTCACTGCTATATCCCTAGGACCTAGAACAGTACCAGAACATAGTAGGTGCTCAGTAAATACTTGTTGTGTAAATGAATTACTTACGGGGAGGGACAGCTAATAAACAGATATTCGAGTAAATATACAATTCTAGGTGGAGATAAGTATTTAGGGAACAAATAAAGCAGGGTAAAGGATTCGAGAGTATTTAGGGGAGTGGAGGGTACTATTTTAGAAAAAGTCTCTCTTTGAGGTAACATTTGAACAGAGACTCAAAAAAATCAAATGAATGCACAAAACTAATGAATAAAAATCCAAAAAACCAAACCCATTGCCATCGAGTCAATTCTGACTCATAGCGACCCTATAGGACAGAGTAGAACTGCCCCATAGGGTTTCCAAGGAGCTGCTGGTGGATTCGAACTGCCAAACTTTTGGTTAGCAGCCGTAGCTCTTAACCACTATGCCACTATTGTTTCCAAATTAATGAATATAAGGGGAGAAATCAAATCTTAGAGACTGGAGAGCTATGAGCTCAAATTCTGGTCTCACCATTCACTGGCTATGGGACCCTGGGTGAGTTACTTAACCATTTTGAATCTGAGTTTCCTTCTCTGTAAAACAGGGTAACAATGCCCACCTCACATATAAGGTGAGCACCCAGCAGTGTGGTTTTCTGGTACACGATAAGTGCTCAATGAAAGGCACCTGCTGTTAATAACAACCACAATGATGATAGAATGTTAATTAACAATGATACCCTCTCTTAACTACTGGTACTGTAATAATACTATACAATAATGTGTTATTGTATAATACTTGTTAGTCGGCGATGACAAGGATGGGGTCAGAGATTCAAGTTGCTTGTTCAGTTGCTTAAACAAGACTCTTCTCACTACTGAGGCTTCTATGCTGGTGAACGGGCCTATTGCAGGGCTGGGAGAGCACCCGCTGCCTTGCAGGTCCTTCCAGGTCAGCCTGGCCTGTCACCTACCACCCAGGGCTTGCTGCAGAAGTTGTAGACAGAGTAGAGGGAGTTGACAGCTGGCAGCCCTCCATACTGGAGGCCGATGACCAGGCTGCGGTAGTCTTCGCCCAGGGCCATGCTATAGGCATGCTGGCGCACCAGGATGAAGTCTGGCTTGAATGACCTGCCAAGAGAGGGGTGGACAGCAGCATTACTTACCACACTGGTGTACGGATGGAGCCCTGGGGCCCCGGGTGTGTGGCTTGGGATGATGTGGTCACTGCCTGCAGCGAGCTCTGTTCCATATAAGGATAGATTCTAAGTATGTAGATGAAGAGGGCCAGATGGAAATTACAGCTGTCGTTGCTGTTGGGTGCCATCAAGTCAGTTTCCACTCATAGGGACCACATGTGACAGGGTAGAATTGCCCCATAGGGTTTTCTTGGCTGTAATCTTTATGGGAGCAGATTAGCAGGTCTTTCTCCCACGGAGCTGCTGGGTGGGTTCGAATCACCAACCTTTCAGTTAGCAGCTGAGCACTTAATCGTTACACCACCAGGGCTCCTTAAACTATGGCTAAACCAAACCAGACTCATTGCCTTTGAGTTGATTCTGACTCATAGTGATCCTATAGCACAGAGTAGAACTGCCCCATAGGGTTTCCTAGGCTGTAATCTTTACGAGGTGCAGCCCTGGTTGCATAGTGGTTAAGCATTAGGCTGCTAAACTAAAAGGTTGGTAGTTTGAATCCACCAACTGCTCTTTGGAAACCCTACTGGGGACAGTTCTACTGTCCCATAGGGTCGCTATGAGTCGGAATAGACTTGTTGGCAACGGGTTTGGTTTTTTTTTTTTTTTGATTTTTATGGGAGCAGATCACCAGGTCTTTCTCCCACGAAGCCGCTGGGTGGGTTTGAACTGCCAACCTTTCAGTTAGCAGCCAAATGCTTAAGCACTGCACCATCACGACTCCTAAAGATTATAGCTATTCACCCATAAAGTAAAAAGACAGAAAACCCTATACTTTCTTCTATGCTTGTTGTTGTTGGCTGTTTTCTAACTTTTCTCTACAGTGAACTTGTATTTCATTTATAATCAGAAAAAAATGTATCAAATATCTAGGGAATCTACTGAGATTTTACTAAGTATTTGCCACTGTACTGAATGCACCCTAAGCATAAACAAAACAAAACCAAACAAACAAACAAAAAAAAAACCAAACCAGTTGTCATCGAGTTGATTCTGACTCATGGCAACCCAATGAGTAGAACTGAGTTCCATAGGGTTTTCATGGCTGTGACCTTTCAGAAGCAGAATGCCAGGTCTTTCTTCCGAGGTGCCTTTGGGTGGATTTGAATCATCAACCTTTCAGTTAGTTACTGAGTGCTTAATTATTTGCACCACCCAGGGACCCACAAATGTACCCTAAGAAATGGGTATTACTACTATTAACCCAATCTACAGGTGAGGACACTGAGGCTCAGAGAGATGAAGTCACTTACTCATTGTCATGCTGCAGGAAAGTGGCAAGGCCAGGCCTACTTAGCCACATGGCCTGGGCTCTCTACCACCATGTATATGGCTTCCCTCCGGTCTATTTCAAACGTGTCCCATCTCTTTTAAGTAGCAACCTCTAGAAAGCAGCAAGAGTATCAATGGGACGGCCAACTACATGTCAGCCTCTTTGTGAGGCCCCTCTGGAGCTATGATCCTGATTAATGCTCACAAGCAGACATGGGCGGAAACCACACTCGGCCCCCATTTTATGGATGAGAACACAGCAGCTCAGAGAAATCATGAACTTCCCCAAATCACAAAGCTGGGAGGCAAGAGAGAGCCACCTCTGAACAAAAGTCATCTGGCTCTAAGTCCATCTGCTTTTCACACCATCACATGCATTGTTTTACTCGCACTGCTAAGGATGAAACTACTTTAGGATTCCTCACCTATAAGTCACACAAGAAAATCAGCCTCACACTAGACATGAACTCTTCACCAGAAATGGCATGATCCATTTGGCTCATTCAAAGCCAGAAATTTAGCTTCAAACAAGTCATGTCTTTTAAAAGAATTCAGATATAAGTTAAAATAACTCTCAAGGGGAAGGGATTTGCTCCCATTGAAGAGAGAAGAAAAGGGTGTGATTAGCTTGGGCCTCACTACACACTCCAGTGCCTAGCACTGGGCAGGGGCATAATGAATACATGTGGAAGGAATGAATGATGTTCATGAACATACATCTCCTTATCCTCAAATGAAATGGCAAGTGTCTCCCTGGCTAAATTGTAAATTGTCCCTAGGTGGGCCACTTAGACAGTGACATCCTTTTCACGTGTATGATTGAGAATGTGCTTGTGGGAACAGTCAATCATATGACTCTGTGGTTAGCATTAGGGTTAGAATCTTGGAGCTATTATACCTACATCCATATTCCATTCTTAGAGATGAAACCGTACAACTGGTATATTTTATGGATGGGGAAACTGAGGCCCATAGAAAGGCAGTGACACATCCAAGGTCACCCAGCAAAATTGTGGCTGAGCAGGAGGTGGCACTCAGGCCTCTCCTTTCTCTTTCTGTTCCGTGTTCTCTGTGTTGCACTTTGCCTGCTGATTACATCAAAAGATTGGATGGAAGGAAGGAAGGAAGGGAAGAAGGAAGGAAGGGAGGGAGGAAAGAGGGTAGGATGGAGGGAGGAAGGGAGGAAAGAAGAAAGGAATGAAGGAAGGAAGGGAGGTTTGTGTGTTTCTGATAGGAACCTAATAATGATAAGGGAACACTCACTTAAAATATAATGCTGAATAGGTTTCAGCGGAGCTTCCAGACTAAGACAGACAAAGAAGAAAGACCTTGAGATCCACTCCCAAGAAAATCAGCCAATGAAAACCCTATGGAACACACTGGTCCCACCTCCAACTGATCATGGGGATGACACAGGACCAAGCAGTGTTTCACTCCGTTGTGCATGGGGTCGCCATGAGTTGGGTACCTAACAACAACATCGGCGACTAACAACAACTTGAAATATAATCATTTTCCTGCTTTTATCTGATTTTAAAAGTAATACATGTTCATTGTGTTAGAAAAAAACAAAAACTTGGAAAGGACAAAGAAGTAAAATTACCCATAATTCTACAACTCAGAGAAAATCCCAGTTAATCTGTTTACTTGTTTCTTTATATGTCTATTGTGATCCAGTTATCTATTTTAATGCCTTTAATATGCATTCATACTTATAATGTATTTCATATTCTCTATTAATTATGATTTTTCTTGTTTTCCATATATTATAAGCATTTCCCTTACCATTAAAATATCTTCAAAAATACAATTTCTAATGGCTATATAATAGTCCACTGAATGGACATGTTATATTAATTCAACCAACCATCTACTATTTATTAATCAGGTTATTTTCTATATTTCTCACATGTATATCTTTGCACAATGATGCCTTCATTTTTAAACTGTTTACTTTCCAAGAAGTGGGATTATTGGGATAAAAGGCATAAACTTCTATTAACATACTTAACACATACTGCCAAACCCTGTCCAGAAAGGCTGTCCTCATTTACACTTCCCCTGCTGAGTTATCTGTGATGGTTAAAATTGTGTGTCAGCTTGGCTGGGCCATGATTCTCAGTGTTTTGGCAGTCATATAACGTGATCACTTCCCTGTTGAGATTTGTTATGTGATCACCCCTGTGATGGGATCTGCTGCAAGTAGCCAGTGAGTTGAAAGGGAATTTCTTTGGGTGTGTGGCCTGCATCCAAATACAAGTAGTTGTTCTGGCAAGGCTCGGGGGCTTTTGCTCTTTCTGGATCCTGCAGCTAGCTCAGGTTCGTCTGACCTCCGGTTCTTGGGACTTGAGCTAGCAGCTTACCTGCAGTCTTGCTTGCCAGTCTTGGGATTCGTCGATCTTCACAGCATGTGAGCAAGAGCCGTCTCTCCGACCTGCCCATCTTGGGTTTGCCAGCCCCTGCAGCTATGTGGATCAGGAGAAGGCTCTATCCTGATCCACAGACATGGGACGTTCCAGCCTCTACAATTGAGTGAGCCATTTTCTTGATATAAATCTCCCTCTCTATATATATTTATACACTTTACTGGTTTTGCTTCTCTAGAGAACCCAGCCTAAGACAATATCTGAGTGTCCATTTCACTACACCCTCACCAGCACTGCATTTTTTTTTTTTTTTCTCCTCCACTAGACTGGATTCTTTGAAAACCAGAGCTATGTTCCGGTCATCAGGGTTTGACCTGGTACAGATGCTTAAGATGTGTTTATGGAACTGAATGTTCTGTTCAGCTCCTAAAATGTTTACTCAGATCTGCAATTCTTATTCCTAAAATTTCTTCCAAATGACGGCAAACTGTCATCTCACACAATCAAGGAGTGCAGTGTTCTGGGTTTAAGAGAAAGGGATCATAGATACCATATACTTTGGACCACCACTTTCAAAGAATGGGGAAAAAAAATCAACTCGGAACATTAACACTAATCTCAACTCAGTCTTTTTTTTTTTTAAATTGTGTTAAAATATATACAACATAAAATTTCCTACTTTAACTATTTTAAATGTATGATTCAATGGCATTAATTATTTTCACATTGTTGTACAACCTTCACCATGATCTACTTCTAAAACTTTTTCATCCCCCAAACAGAAACTCTATGCCCCTTAAGCAATAACTGCCATCCTCCCCTCCCCCAACTCCTGGTAACCTCTACTTTCTGTTTCTATGCGGTTACCTATTCTAGATAGTTCCTATACGTGGGGTCATGAATATTTATCCTTTTGTGTCTGGCTTATTTCACTTAACATAATGTTTTCAAGGTTCACCCACGTCATAGCCTAAATCCCTGCATTTTTTTAAAATATATTTTTCAACTTGATAAGCAACTCCCCTACAAGACACCCTGCACCCCACTGTTGTCTTAGTTTGTATTTCTCTGACTCTAGTGAAACTGAACACTTTTTATTAACCAATTGTTTTTTCTTTTCTGCAAAAGTCTGCCCTCATCTTTCTCCATTTTTTAAAAGGAGACCTTACTGTTTCCTTACTTATGTGAGCTCTGTAGATTAAGGGGCTGTCCTTTTATCTAAAGAGTCCTGGTGGCACAGTGGTAAAGTGCTCGACTGCTAACTAAAAGAAAGGTCTCAGTTTGAATGCACCAACCG